TGAGTTTGAAAGTGTCTTTCCTCTTCTATTTTTTAGAAGAGTTTGAAAAGGATTGGTATTAATTCTTCTTTGAATGGTTGGTAAAATTCACCAGTGATGCGGTCTGGTTTTAGGCTTTTGTTTTTTGGAAGGGTTTTGATTACTGATTCAATTTCCTTATTAGTAATTGGTTTATTCAGATTTTGTATTCATGATTCTGTCTTGGAAGGTTATATGTTTACAGGAATTTATCCCAAGTTGTCCGATTTGTTCATGTATAATTGTTCACAGCAGTCTCTCAGAATCCTTTATATTTCCATGGTATCAGTTGTTAATGTCACCTCTTTCATTTCTGATTTTATTTAAGCCCTCTCATTTTCTTGCAGAATGTACTAATGGTTTGTCAGTTTTGTTTCTCTTTTCAAAGAACAAGCTTTTAGTTTCGTTTTATCTTTTCTCTTGTCTCTTTAATCTCTGTTTCATGTATTTTTGCTCAGATCTTTGGTATTTCCTTCCTTCTACTAACTTTGGGCTCCATTTTTCTTTTTCTAGTTCCTTGAGATGTAAAGTTAGGTTATTTGAGATTTTTCTTGTTTCTTGCTGTAGGCATTTTATCACTATGAACTTTCCTCTTAGAACTGCTTTTCCTGCATCTGTAAATTTTGGGATGTTGTATTTTCATTTTCATTGGCCTCAAGGTATTTTTTGATTTCTCCATTGACCCATTGGTTTTCAGTAGATGTTGTTTAGTCTTCACATGGTTTTCAATGTTCTTGTAATTGATTTCTACTTTCATACCATTGTGATCGGAAAAGGTGCTTGATCTGATTTCATTTTTAAATTTATTAAGACGCGTTTTGTGGCCTAACATATGACCTATTCCGTGTGCACATGAGAATGTGTATTCTGTTGCTTTTGGATGGATGTATATGTCTGTTAAATTCATCTGGTCTAATGAGTTATTTAAGGTCAATGTTTCCTTATTGATTTTCTGTCCAGATGATCTCTCCATTTGTGTAAGTAGGATATTAAAGTCTCCTACTATTATTGTAATATTTTCTGGTTCTCCCTGTCAGTCTGTTAATATTTGCTTTGTATATAAAGCTGCTCTTATGTTAGGTTCATAAATATTGACAAATGTACATAACGTCCTCTTGTTGGATTAACCCCTGTATTGTTATGTAATGCCCTTCTTTGTCTCTTATTACTTTGTCATAGTTTTAAAGTCTGTTTTTCTAACATAAATGTAACTATTTCAGCTTTCTTTCGGTTTCCACTTGCATCTTTTCCATCCCTTTACTTTCTACCAGTCTGTGTGTGTCCTTATAGCCAAAGTCAGTCTCTTGTAGGGTCTTTTTTTAATTTTATCTATTCAGTCACTCTATGTCTTTTGATTGGAGAATTCAGTCCAATTACATTTAAAATAATTATCGACTGGTACATACTTGTCATCATTTTCATTGTTTTCTGGCTGTTTCGTAGTTCCTCTCTGTTCCTTTCTTTTGCTCTCTTCCTGTGTGGTTTTAAGACTTTCTTTAGTGGTATGTTTAGATTTCTTTCTCATTATCTTTTTTCTATCTACTATAGGTTTTTGCTTTGTGATCACCACTAGGCTTTCCTATAACAACCTATATTTATAAAGCTATTTGAAGTTAATAATAAGTTTGAAGACATTCTAAAACTTTTTTACTCCCTCCCCACATTTTGTTTTTGATGTCACATTTTATATTTTTTATCTTACGTATCCCTTAATTATTATAATTATTTCTACTACTTTTTTAAACTTCATAGTAGCTTTGTAATTGGTCCACTACCTTTACTGTATATTTTCCTTTCCAGTGATGTTATTTTTTTCATTGTTTTCTTGTTATTAATTAGTGCCCTTCCTTTTAAACTTAAAGAAGTCCCTTTAGCATTTCTTCTACTGCCAGTTTAGTGATGATGAACTCCTTTGGCTTCTGCTTGTTTGGAAAACTCTCTCCAATTCTGAATAACGCTACCAGGTGGAGTATTCTTGGGTGGAAGTTTTTTTTATTTCTGCATTAAAGATATATCGAGCCACTTCCTTCTGGCAGCAACTTTTGCTGAAAAATCTGTGGATGGTCTCACGGAGGTTCCTTTGTGCATAACAGGTTGTTTTACTGCTTTTAAAATTTTCCCTTTGTCCTTAACTTTTGACACTTTGATTACAGTGTGTCTTGGTGTGGGTCTTTCTGGGTTCATCTCTGGACCCCCTTGGGCTACATGGATACAGATATCTGTTTCCTGTTCCAGGTTAGGAACTGTTGTTGGCCATTATTTCTTCAAATAAATTTTCTGGCTCTTTTTTCCCTGTGTTCTCCTTTTGGAACCTCTAAAATGTGAATGTTAGTCCACTCGATGTTGTCCCAGTAGTCCCTGAAACCATCCTCACTTTTTAAATTCTTTTTTCGCTGTTCTGTTTGGGTGAGTTCCACTATCCTGTTATCATATTCACTGATCTTTCCTTCTGCTTCATCAGGTTTGCTGTTAACCCCCTCTAGTGTATATTTTTAGTTCAGTTATTGTATATTCTGCTCTATGACTTCTGTTTGGTACTTTTTTTTTTAAATCTCTTCGTTAAAGTTCTTACTGTGTTCATCCATTCTTCTCTCAAGTTCATTGAGCATCTTTTTGATCAATATTTTAAACTCTATCAGGTAAGTCACCTACCTCCCTTTCATTAAGTTCTTTTCTTTGGTTTTATTGTGTTCTTCTGTTCATTTTGCTTGACTGTGTTTCCTTCCATATATTAGATGAAATAGCCACCCCTCCCAGTCTTGAAGGAGTGGCCTTGTGTAAGAGATGGATCTTATCATTCAGCCTTGCCCTAGGTCCTGGTCGTCTCTTGAACCTTTGTGATTGTCCAGGTAGCGTAGTTTATTTTTAATAGCTTCCGTTTGTTGAGGGTGTGCCAAGACCTATCTGTGTCCCAAAGGGGAGAATCTCAGTCAGCACCAGTCAGGGTGCTTGGAAGCCAGTCCCTTAGGCAGCAGCTTTTAAGTAAGCAAATATACTTAGTCCTACGGACCACGAGCATGAGCACTGCTGGCCACCAGACCAGGCAATCTGGAGTTGTCCCCTGGACCACAGTGTCAAAAATCAGGGTTCTAGGCAAGTGCGTAAGCTCCTTTTTGAGAGGTACCAGAGAGCTACAGCGAGGCGGAGGGAGAGGGCAGAGAGAGTGTCCCCTGGCTTGCATTCCTTTTTTCTGTGCCAGACCTGAAGCCTGCCCCTCAGGCCGAAGCTGGACACAAAAGGGCAGGAAGATCGTGGGTGTATTTCAGTCCACCATCCATGCAGGAGGGCGATGGAGGTGGTAGCCTGACAGGAATTGCCTTTGTGACTGTTAGAGTCCCATGGAACATAGGAACACCGGCCCCCTGGCCACCCGAGTCAGGTGTACAAGGTGCACCCAGCATGCAAGTCTGGCCCTGTACTTCTCTCCAGCCTCATGGCTCATAAACCATTCCCCCTCAGCTTTACCCCAGCCTCTGAATGCATTTGTGTACATACTAATTTGTCCTCCATGATTCAGCATCACCTCCTCTGGGAGGTCTTCCCTGATTCTCCCAGGCTGCGTCATCCTGCACTGACACTCTGCTTCTCCGGGTCTATTTTCCCAGCAGGACCAGCATTTTGAAAAGTGTCCATGTCTTACTCGTTTCAGCATCCCTAGCACTTGATGCTTAAGAAATATCAGTTAATGTGGGATGATCTCATTTCCCAAGTTCCACACAGCCCTGAATGCATATTCTTCCTCGCCAGTCTCATGAATCCTTCCTCCGGGAACCCCAGTCATTCTTCTAGCCCTGAATGGGAGGCATGCCAACTGCTTATTCGCCCGTGTCCCCAAACACATGCAGTGCACAGACCTGCAAGACACTGTGACAGTGGACCGGCACCTGCTGGTCGGAAGTCTCTAGAACAGTGACAGAGGAGGGCTTCTTAATCTGCACAGTGCTCCACGAAGAACATGAGCCCCTTCTCAGAGTCATATTTTCAGATGGACAATATGAAACACATAGGTTACAAATGAAATCAATCACAATGAAATTCAGGTATCACGACATTAGAAAAAAAGATAACAGAAAAACTATATATTGCTTGTATATGTGATACATATATGTGATATATAGATATATATTTATATCACATTAAATAACAAGATCTAGCAATGGGTCTAATTACTACTACAGTTTCAAAGTAATGAACAAAAATGACATTTTGAGATATCTGCAATAGCTATAAAGCGAGCTGAAATCTGATTTCTGTTGCTGACAGTTACAGGTACTGCAGGTACTAGAGCTGGTCGCCTCCATCGTGGAGGAAAGCAAATGCTGAGTTTCGGTTAGAGGTCAGTGAAACTGAAGACCAACTCTTTTGCCATCCAGGTTCAAAGGCACCATGAATTCTAGCCATGGATCCCTTTCGGGGGAGGGGAACCCCAGGTTAAGAACCCCTGAATGGGGTTTCAGAAGTAGAAAAATGCTTTTAAATATGGTGGAGGCGGCTGGTGGTGAAGTGGCTGTGTGACTTCTGCTGAGTGTAACGGGCAGTAGGGGACAGTGGAGGCGGTGTGGTAGAGACGGCACCACCAGAAGGTCTAAGTTCGAATCCCACAGGCGCCACTTACCCGTGTTTTGAGGCTCGGCCTGGCCGTCTTCCTGCCTGGCGTCCACTTCCTCATCCGTGAAATGGAAGTGCCGCTGTCTTCCTCGTGGCTTTGCTGAAAGGGTTCACTAAGTGAATACGTGAAAACTCTTGGTGGTCAAATGTTGTTAAACGAGAATGATATTCAATGTCTGTAGAGCACATACGTACACATGCGCACACGCGTGTAACTTCTTCCAGAACAGAGACCCCAAAGTCGGACCTGCTGTGTGACCTGGGAGGTGCCAGTGTACTCAGAGGCTAGTCAGCCCTTTCCTGTCTGGCAAACGTGGGTGAGTGGGCCCTGTGTTCCCAGCCCAGCGCGAGACAGCGAATCCCGAAGGCAGAGAGTTTCTCACTTTGTTATTTTATTAGAAGCATATTTACAGTCTTGCAGTTAACTTTGCAGAGAACATTTTACAAAAGTCTTGTATAAAGTTTAGAAACTACATAAAAATTACTTCTGTTCATAAAGAAAATATACGTTAGTTATATTTATTCTGCCATAAATTGACTGAAAATGAGAAATAGTCCTCGTCTGTCCCTTATGGAGGAAACAGCACAGGGCTCGAGGGCCTCCGTGCGGGCCTCGTCAGTGCTGGGCACCCGCTGGCTCAGTCGCGAGGCGGGCGCATCCATCCCCCGGACCCCACCTGGAAAGGACGGAGGACCTAGCGGGCTCAGGTGACACGGAGCGGGGACACAGCAACTCCTTGCGCAAGATTTCAGTGTGGAGATGAGGGAATGGCCGATGACGCGCCTGAGCCAGGACGCCGGCACCTCACAGAACACTCATGGTCACAGCCCAGGCCGCAAAGCCGGACCCAGCCCTGCCTGACCGTCCGCCGCCGCGGCCTCGCCTGGGGGAACCGGGGCTCCGCTCCGCAGCGCCACCGCTGCCTGCTCACGCTGCCCCGGCACCCGCACCCCTGAGAACCAAGGGGACAGCTGTTTCACACGTCTCCCTTGTCGAGACCTGAAACTGTCCCATCTGGGTCAAATACTGAAGCGGGCAAGCTGACTGCTCACTAACCTGAGGGGAGCACTGGCTTCCGACGGTCCCCACAACACATGTACGACTTGGGGACCCCAAGACCCTTCTCTTGAATGGCTACCCTCTCTCTGCAAGATCCAGGGGAGGGGGATTACAGTCCCCCGGTGCCAAGATGACTTCCAGGGAATCGCTTTAGAAAGACATCAAGCCTGACCTTAAGGAGTGAAGGGAGAAAGCGCTCCCGGGGTGTGTCAGTCACCGTCACCAGTGAACTAGGACCCAGATTCCATGTGCCCATGTGAGTCCCCTGAATCACCTTCAGTCTTCTGTCTTGTTATTTTAAAGCAAGTATTTCCTGAAGAACCCATTCATTTGTTTCAAGTTAGAAACCAAGGTGAAAAGTTTTCTTTGTAAATAAGCCGAATGCCAGTTTGAGCCTTTGCTTTCACTGGGTTATCAACACCGCAGCCTTGGCCAGCAGGACCTGGAAAGCCCGGGAGTCCGACGGAAACACCGAAGCTTCGCTTCTGCCACTTTCCTGGGCGCAGGAAGCCCTGCTTCTCCCTGACGCTCCTGCTTCCTGAACAGAAGCCCCAGTGGCCGCCAGCCTCTGTCTGAAGCGTAAGGCTGGACTCCTGGACTAGGAGGGACACAGGGCAGAGGGAGACAGCCTGCCCATGTCACCTGCAGACAGGATGGGCAACTGAAATGAGAAATTTATCCCTGAACACAGGATGCCACGCGGGGGCCAAAGGGAGTTGCGCTGGCAGCTCAGCCTGTGCCATCTTGTTCCTCTGGTGCCGATACCCAGCACGCCCCATACCTATGGCTCCACCTGACATGCTCAGTGGCTCAGGCAGGAAACGTGCTCCAACCCACCTGGCACGAGAGGCCCAGGGTGGAGGCAAGCCTGGGTAATGCCAGGGGCCTAAACCCTGTGTGTGGGAATACGCAGGGAGGAGGAACACAAGATGGCACCCACACCTGAGACCAGCAGAAGGGATGGTTCCGGCGCCCCCCACCCCACCGTCGTAGACACGGCCTTGTCGTAAGAGGAAAGCAAATTCGGGGAACTGGAGAAATGAGGGCACCCCCTGAGCAGTGGGCGGCTGGCCGGGCTCCACCGGGAACCCAGATGGCTGTTAGGAGCTACGATTCTTGTCTGACACTGCAGGGAACGGCTGAGGAGCCACCATGAATTACAGTACGGACGAGCCCATGGTGACTTCAGTGGCAGCACTTAGCACCCATATACAGCAAAGCTGGTGTTTTGGCAAATGGGAGGGACCTCGAGGCCACAGAACACCTGAGGCCACAGAACACTGAGGCCACAGAACACCCGTTCCTCTTGGGACCCTGACCCCACCCACAACCTAAATCACTGACAGCCTGAAAGGATCTGGGGCTGAGAGAACATATATTAGAATCAGGTGACACATAATAGAACCTCGCCCTCCACGCATGAGCAAGAGAGGTCAGGAACACGGGAGTCGCACAGGCAAGGGGCTGCATTCGAGCTGGCGTGAAGCAGGAGGGACGGGGGACCTGAGTGCTTGTTCACAGAGAATGGGGGCCCCGGAGGCCCGCCAGCTGCCAGCCACAGTCCCGTGGCTGTTAGGGAGCGTCCGCAGCGCTGTAGGGGAAGAACTTGGCCTTGTTTGGGGTGGTGGGGTTTGCACACTCCGTCTCCTCGTTCAGTTTGAAGAACATCTCCTGCTCCCGCTTCTTCTGGTTCAGATCTTCTTCCAGAGCCTGGAAGGAAGATGGAGCTCAGCCCGATCCCACAGGACACAAGACTCCCACCAAAGCGTCCTCCGGAAACTTCCCTCCCAGGCCCCAGTGCTCGGGCCACTGGATCTTCCCTCTCTTCTTTTCCATAGCCTGCCACCCACCTCCTCCTCCCTCCTGTCACGGCCACTCAGGGTCTCCGGTGGCCATGGGGAGCAGATGCGTATCTGCTGGCAGGAAAATTCAAAGGCCGAAAATGGGGAGAGGTCTAACAGCAGGGGGAGCAGACACGTCCAAGTTACAGGCTCCTGCCCAGGGCCTGTCCCTCAGAACTCTCCCAGAGTCCTCTCCAGGCTACACGTGCCGTCACGCCGCCCCCGAGAAGCTGAGTGTGAACACTGGTGGTCGGACAGGGGTTCTCTGTGCTGTAAACGCACATGAGATTCCTGAGGGATCAAGTTTATCTAGGTAAATCGGATCCTACCAGGAAGATGTCTTGAGAGTTCTCCGATAATAAGCATTCAGTGAGGAAAGGAAGCAGAGTACAGTGGAGAGAACTTTACAGTCAGGCAGAATTCAGCCTTATCATTACCAGCTGTGTGGCCTTGCATGCTACCTCTCTCTTTCCTCACGTGTAACGTGACAGGATTCCTCCCTGCCAGCAGGGCCATCGTGAGGATTAAACTAAAAACAGGTCACAATTGCTGGGCACTTCCTACACGTCAGGGGCTATGCTGTGTGATTACATCTTATTTCATCTCCTCTGAGGTAGATACTACTATTATCCCCATCTCATAGATGGAGAAACCGAGGCTCAGAGAGCTTAGGTCACTTGCCCAAGGTCACTCAGCTAGCTCAGGCACAGCCAACATGTGAACCTAGGCCTAACTTTAGAGTTCAAGCTCAAACGCTGTGCTCTACCATCTGAAAGCCGGGCACACAAGGGTCGTTCAGTAAACGTGGCTTCGTTACTCAGAGGCACCAACCATCAGCCAGGCTCCTTTATTTTTACAATAGAAGTATCTATTTTCACAAGATTTGACCAGCAATCTATTATGTCTTTTTTTCTTTCTTTTTTTTTTTTTTAATTATTATTTATGCCTACAGCATCTGCTCTTCCTTGGTGGTCTCCCATCCAAGTACTAACCAGGCCCGACCCTGCTTAACTTCCAAGGTCAGACATCGGGCTTATTCAGGGTGGCATGGCTGTGGACCATGGACTGTGGCTCTACTGGAACCCAGGACCTTCTGCGTGTAAAGCAGACGTGCTAACTGCTACACTGTGGAACCAAGTCCTATTATGTCTTTTTTAGATGCTTCTTTGGATGCCCTGAAATAGTTTCTACTTAACGGACTCCTTACCTTACCTATATCTACATCTTAGGCCGACACCTGTGGCACAATATGGAGCAGAGCCCACCTGCGCCCACCAGCCCAGACACTTACCTTTTTGCGTGGCCGAAGCTTATCCCGCCATTCCTTCAGGTTCTGGTTATGGCTCTCGTCCAAGGCCTTCAGCTTCTGGGTTTCATGCTCTACCAGGAGGTGACACTTTTCATTCTGGAACAAATTCCAGGCGGCAGAACAGGTAAGAAACTCAAGGCAGAGACACAGAGGGCCAATACATACCTCATGCTGTAGCCCCGAGGGCAGCAGCATTCACTTATTATAGTTCTTGATTATAAACCCTACTGATAGAAAACTCTATACAGGTGAATACCTACTGCACTGACAGGTGCCTGGAGGAATATTCCAGAATATTAATGTTTATTTCTTGTGTAGTGGGGTCTGCAGTAATTACAACTTTATTTTTGCATTGTTTGAATTTTTCAACACAAAAATGTCATTTTAACAAAACAAAACTATTAATAAATATCATATGTGCCCTAATCCCACCACACAACCATTACAAAAATTTAGATATATTTCCTGTCAGGCTCTATCATGTATATTGTTTAGCTCACCCTATATACATAATTCTGAAACCTGCTTTTTGTTTGTTGATTTATTGATAGCCATTCTGACAGGTGCCGGGTGATGTCTCATTGTGGTTTTGATTTGCATTACCCTGATAATTAGTGATGTTGAGCATCTTTTCACGTCTGTTGGCCATCTGTATGTCCTTTTGAGAGAAATGTCTATTCAGGTCCTCTGCCCAATATTTAATCAGATTGGGTTTTTTTGGTGTTAAATTGAATGAATTCCTTATATATTTTTGGATATTAACCCCTTATTGGATGTATCTGGTGATTATCTTCTCCCATTCAGTAGGTTGTCTTCGTTGATTGTTTCCTTTGCTGTGCAAAAACTTTATAGTTTGATGTCCCATTTTTTAATTTTTTTCTTTTGTTTCCCTTGCCCAAGGAGACATATCCAAAAAAATACTGCTAAGAGCAATGTCAGAGAGTTTACTGCCTATGTTTACTTCTAGTTTTTTGGTTTCGGGTCTTACATTTAAATCTTTAATCCATTTTGAGTTTATTTTTGTATATGGTGTAAGAAAGTGGTCAGTTTTTTTTGCATATGTGTCCAGTTTCACCAACACCATTTAATGAATAGACTGTCTTTACCCCATTGTATAGTCCTGTCTCCTTGTCATAGATTGACCATATAGGCATGAGTTTATTTCTGGGCTCTATTCTGTTCCATTAATCTATGTGTTTGTTTTTAATGCCAGTACCACGCCATTTTGATTATTATACCTTTGCAGTATAGTTTGCTGTCAGGTTGCGTGATACCTCCAACTTTGTTCTTTCTTAATTGTTTTGGCTATTTGGGGTCTTTTGTGGTTCCATGTGAGCTCTAGGATTATTTGTTCCAGTTCTGTGGAAAATGCCATTGGTATTTTGGTAAGGATTGCATTGGATCATTGGATCTGTAGATCGCTTTGGGTGGTATAGACATTTTAACAATGTTAATTCTTCCTACCCATGCTCACGGAACATACTTCTACTTTTTGTATCTTCTTCAGTTTCTTTCTTCGGTGTATTATAGTTTTCTGAGTACAGGTCCTTTGTCTCCTTGGTTAAATTTATTCCTAGGTATTTTGTTCTTTATGATGCAATTTTAAATGGGGTTGTTTTCTTAATATCTCTGATAGTTTGTTATTGGTATCTAAAAATGCAGCTTATTTCTAAATATTGGTTTTGTATCCAGCCACTTTACTGAATTCATTTATTTATTCTAATAATTTTTAGGTGGAATTTTTAGGGTTCTCTATATATATAGTATGTCATCTGCAAATGATGACAGTTTTACTTCTTTGTTTACAACTTGATGCCTTTTATTTCTTGTCTCTGATTGCTGTGGCAAGGACTGCCAATACTTTGTTGGGAAAAAGTGGACAATCCTTTTCTTGTTCCCGATCTTAAAGAAAAAACGTTCACTTTTTCACCATTGAGTATGTTAGCTGTGGGTTTGTCATACATGGCCTTTATTATGTTGAGATATGTTCCCTCTATCCCCACTTTGCTGAGAGTTTTCATCATAAATGGGTGTTGGATTTTTATCAAATACTTTTTCTGCATCTATTGATATGATCATGATTCTTACCCTTCATTTTGTTTATGTGGTGTATCACATTAATTGATTTACGGATCGTGAACCAACCCTGCATCCCAGGAATAAATCTCACTTGATCATGATGTATAATATTTTTAATGTATTGCCTAATTTGGTTTGCAAATATTTTGTTGAGGAATTCTGCATCTGTGTTCATTATCTTTAGTGGCCTATAATTTTCTATTCTTGTAGTATCTTTGTCTAGTTTTGGTATCAGGGTAATGCTGGCCTCTGAAAACGATTTTGGGAGCCTTCTCACCTTTTCAGTTTTGGGGAAAAGATTGCAAAGGATAGGTATTAATTCTTTTGAGTGTTTGGTAAAATTCACCTGTGACTCCGTCTGGTCCAGGACTTTCATTTGTTGAGAGTTCTTCTGTTTACTGATTTGACTTTGCTAGTACTTATTGATCTGTTCAGATTTTCTACTTCTTCCTGATGTAGTATTGGAAGATTGTATGTTTCTGGGAATTTATCCATTTCTTCCAGGTTGTCCAATTTGTTGGCTTATAATTGTTCATAGCAATTTCTCATCCTTTTTATTTCTTTGGTTGTCACTTCTCTCCTCTTTTATTTCTGATTTTATTTGGGCCCTCTTGATGAGTCTGGTGAAAGGTTTATCAATTTTGTTTACCTTTTCACAGAACCAGCTCTTGGTCTCAGTGATATTTTCTACATTTTTTATATTCTATTTGGGTTTTTTTTTTTTTTTTTTTGACTTTGATGTGTATTTCCACTCTTTATTTTTTCCTTCTACTCACTTTGGACTTTGTTCTTCTCTTTCTTGTTCCTTTAGGTGTAAGTTAGATTATTTGAGATTTTTCTTGATTCTTGAGAAAGATCTGTATCACTGTGAATTTCCCTCTTAAGACTGTTTTGTCTATGTCCCATAGGTTTTGAGTTGTGTTTTCATTTTCATTTATCTCAAGGTATCTTGATTTCTTCTTTGATCTTATTAACCTGCTCATCGTTCAGTAGCATGTTATTTAGTCTCCATGTGTTTGTTTTTCAGTTTCCTTCTTGTAACTGATTTCTAGTTTCATACCACTACGATCAGGAAAGATGCTTGATATAATTTCAGTCTTCTTAAATTTCTCAAGACTTGTTGCCTAACATGTGGGCCTGGAAAATGTTCCATGTGCATTTGAAAAGAATGCATATTTTGCTGCTTTTGGGTGAAATGCTCTAAAAATATTAATTAAATCTATCCGGTCTACTGTGTCATCTAAGGCCAGTGTTTCTTTATTGATCTTCTGTCTGGATGATCTATCTCCATTGATGTTAATGGGCTGTTAAAGTTCCCTACTTTACTGAATTACTGTTGATCTCTCCCTTTGTGTCTGTCGTATTTATTTGCTTTATATATTGAGGTGCTCCTACATTGTATGTGTAAATGTTTACAAGACTTATGTCCTCTTGTTGGATTTTGTCTCATTACAGCCTTTGTTTTAAAGTCTGTTTTGTCAAAGTATTGCTACCCTAGCTTTTTAAAATTTCCATTTGCATGAAATTTTTTTCTATCCCCTTACTTTCAGTCTGTGTCTTTTAGTCTGAAGTGGCAGCATAGGTAGGTAGAGGGTTTGTTTTTGTGATAGCTATATAGTAATTGCCATTTTGTTGTTTTCTGGCTGTTTTTGTATTTCTTCACTGTTCCTTATTCTCCTGCTCTCTTGTATTTTGATGATTTCCTATGGTATGATGTTTGTATTCCTTCCTCTTTATTTTTGGTGTATTTCATAGATTTTTGGTTTGAGGTTACCATAGGCTTTATATATACCAAGCTATGTTTATAGCAGTCTATTTTAAGTTGATGGTCACTTAAATTCGAACATATTCTAAAGTCACATTTTTTTACTCCCGCCATGTTTGTTTTTCATTACATTTGTGTGTGTTTCCATTTATTGTTGTAATTACACACGATCTTCCTACTTGTCTTTTAGTCTTTGTACTAGCTTTATAGTTGTTTGATCCACTGCTTTTACTGTTTGCCTTTGTCAGTGAGAAAAGTTTTGCTTTGTTTTTTGCTCTTAATTTTTTTATTTTTTCTTTTTAAAGAAGTACCCTTAACATCTCGCCTTTCGTTTCTTCTTGTCTGGGAAGCTGTTTATCTGTCTTTTGATTATGGATGATAGCCTTGCCTGGTAGAGTAATCTTGGTTGTAGGTCCTGGCTTTTCATCACTTCGAATTTTTGTGACAGTCCCTTCTAGCCTGCAAAGTTTCTGTTCAGAAGTCAGCTGACAATCTTAAGGGAGCTCCCTTGTGGGTAAAACTAACTGCTTTTCTCTTGCTACTTTTAAGATTCTCAATCTGTCCTTAACATTTGGCATTTTAATTATGCTGTGTCTTGGTGTGGGCCTCTTGGGGTTCATCTTGTTTGGGACTCTCTGCTTCCTGGACTTGTGTGTCTATTTCCTTTGCCAGGTTAGGGAAGTTTTCAATAATTATTTCTTCAAATAGGTTTTCAGTCCCTTGCTCTCCTCTCGTGGTACCCTATGATGTGAATGTTGGTACGCTTGATGTTGTCCCAGAGGTCCCTTAAACTATCTTCATTTTTTTATTCCTTTTTCTTTTCTACTAATTTGTCTTCTAGCTGATTTGATCCCCTGCTTCATCTAACCTGCTGTTGACGCCCTCTAATGTATTCATTTTAGTTATGGTAGTCTGCATTTCTAACTGGTTCATTTTTATTTTCTACTTTGTTTCCTGTCTCTTTTTGAAGTTCTCACTGAGTTCATCTATTCTTCCCCTAAGTTCATCGAGCATCTTTACAATCAGTGTTTTGAACTCTGCGTCTGGTTGATTGCTTATCTCCCTTTGGTTTTTGTTTGTTTGAGTTTTGACCTGTTCTTTCATTTGAGACATGTTTGTCTCTTTATTTTAGTTTACTCTCTCTGTTTGTTTCTATATATTAGGAAGATCCGCTACGTCTCCTGGTCTTGGCAGTGATTTTATGTAGTAGGTGTTCTGTGGGGTCCAATGGCACAGTTTCTCTGGCCACCTGAGTTGGGTACTCCAAGGGTGTCCCTTGTGAAGATCGTGTGTGCCCTCATATTGTAGTTGAGCCTTGACTGCTGTTGGCAGACACATCAGTGGGTAGGATTGACCCTCAGGCTGACAGCTGGCCGTGACTACCATGGACAAGTTGTTTTGCAGAAGCTGCAAAACAGGAGTCACTTTCGCAGGGCTCTCGTGCCAGCTGAGACCACCCTTCAGGTATGTCGTTTGTGGAGCTGGTTGGATGGTGCTCTGGTGTGATCTGAAGCCTCTTGGGAGGGACTCCAGTGCTGATCAATCACCTGTTGTGCCTGGCCTAAAGTAGGAGCTACAGTGATCTGTGATTGGTTGATGCTTGTGTAAGGCTTAAAGATGCTCGGGGTAGGCTGTTCTGTGGACCAAGGCTTGTTGCCGCTAACATTGGGCCTTTCAGTGGGCACCATGATGAGGTCAGCTGCCACCTGTGCCAGGTTTGCGGCCACTTAGTTGAGGCTACCTTCCAAGCCAAGACTGGTTCCTGCTTATGCCAGGCTATGGATAGCTTAGCAAGAGGTACAGGGCACACAAAGGCCAACTGCTGCTTCTCAGGTTTGTGGACTTTTGAGAGACTTCGGCAGAGCCCACAACACGAGCTGAGGTAGGTTGCTTGTATGGAGGAGCTGCCGGAAGATGTTCAGCTGGGCACGTGAGTTGGGGTCTCAAGGAATCACCAGGGTGGGATGAATGGTGTTGCTCAGGTTTGGCACCCAACTGTGCCAGCCCACTGGGTGGGCGGCGGACTCAACAGGGAACAGTGGTGCCGCCCAGCACTTCCCTCTTGGAGAGACTGTCTCAACACTCACCCCTCAGCCCTGAAGCTGGTCACTTTAGTTCCTCGCCATAAGTCCCTGGTGCTTTGCAAGGTGCTGCGTCTGTGCTGGAGCCCAGAGAGAGGGAGTCTGTGCTCGGGCCCTACAGGACCCGCAGCACCTGGGTCTCCAGCAGCCCTCCATCTCACTGGACACGATCCCCACCGGTTCTCACAGCCAGCTGTTATGGGGACCTCTCCTCAGCTGAGCTATCCCTCCCAATTCTTAATTGCCATACCATGTCTCCACCCTCCTACCAGTCTCAGTGTGGCTTTTTATATCTTTAGTTATAGGACTTCTGTTCAGCTAGACTTCAGGTGGTTTTCTGTAATGATTGTTCTAAAATTTAGTTGTAATTTTGATGTGGTCATGGGAAGAGGTGAGTACAGCATTTACCTATCCCGCCACCCTGACCAGAAATCCTGCTTGGGGAGTTTTTATTTTGAGTTTCTATCTGAAAGGTTCTGGGAGTTTAGATATTGGTTTGGTTAGGAATAACAACATTCTAATAGCACTGTGTCCCTGTGACCTGCCAGGAGCTAGGCTCCCAGCACTCTGTGCATTTTCCTAGTTAATCCTCACAGTAACCCCACAAGGCAGGCAGGGGCAAACAGATGCAGAAGGTGAGTGGCTAAAACGCACACAATGACAAAGCTTCAAGTTGGCGGGCCTCAGTGCCTGTAACGTTTCCTCCCTGCCTCTCCAGGAATTGCTAGATGGGTCCAATAGCCTGAGCAATTTCCTGAGGTGACAGAAGTTTGAGTCTGCTCATCTCTCACTATGACAATGCCTCGTGCCACCACAAGGGGGCTCCAACCACCAGCTTTTGGGGTAGAGCAAACTCAGCCAGAAAACCAGTAGAAAAGGATCTCCCTAGGGAGAGGGGCCACCAAGGGTCTTAGCAACAACCACGACACCTTTTGCTGGTCTTAGTGGGAAAGTTATTGCCATTGAGGATGTTGCTGGCCGTAGGCTTTTGTAGGTTCTCTGTCAAGTTGAGGAATTTCCCCTCTATTCCTAGTTTGCTGAGTGTTTATCATGAACAGGTTTTGGCTTTTGTCAGATGCTTGCTTTTTCTGCATCTACTGATATGATCATGAGAGTTTTCTTTAGCCTCTTGAAGTCACAGGTTACATTAATTGATTTCCGAATGCTGAACCAGCCTGGGAAAAGTCCCACTTGGTCATGGTGTATAACTATTATACAATGTTGGATTTGATTTGCTAACATTGTACTGAAGATTTGTGCATGAGTGTTCATGAGATACTGGTCTGTAGTTTTCCCTTCTTGTCTGATTCTGGTATTAGGGTAATTGGGACACTTTTTCCCAAAACGCAGTGATGAGCGAGAGATCTAGCAGCATGCCTGCCGCCAGGCCCTTTCCGCTCTGTCATCTCATTTTCAAAGCCTCGCTCCAGTCCCTGCCACACGCCTACTTTATGGGTGGGCATGGTCGCTTGGGAGGGTGGAGTGCTCCGGCCAGCACCGCGCCGCACAGCGGGTTTGAAACCATTCCACCCTGGGCTTGTGTGCTGAGACCTCGCGCTGGGGGCCGTGGGGAGGCGGTACCTGCAGCTGCTGCAGCTCACTCATGTTGCTGTCGCACTGGGCCACCATGTCCCGCATCTGGCTCTCGTGCTTCTGCTGTTGCTGCAGTCGCTCCGACTTCTGTCTCTTCTCCTCTTGCTGGGAGAACTACAACAGAGAGAGTGGCTGGGGCCTCCCTCCACCCTGTCCCCGAGAGGCCCCTCAGAGGGACCAGTGTGTGCACAGACTTAGTACCCCACATCACACTGGTTGTGTCCCTGTTTTAAGCTCTCCCCCATAAGTTGAGACCCAGCCTCGAGGCTGATGGGGACACGACACCGTGCTGTGACGTGCTAGGGCAGTGTGTGTCACAGGAGCCCAGGGCCACCGACTCCATGTCCCTGAGCCACTGAGTGACGTGTGAGGAGGGGTCTCAGTGGATGAGAGGAAGCTGCAGATAAGAAGCACGGAGTGGGAAGGGGAGCGGAGCCTGAGAAAGCCATGCAGGGCTGCCTCTGTCCCCGGCGGGGGCACCATTAGGCTTCTGGGCTGTGACCTGCACCCCCCGTACCAAGACCCCATGCTGCGGCTGACGTTGCAGTCCCCCGAGCGTGTGAGGTTCGGGCCCCCTCCGGCACAGCCCCTACCTGCTTGACCTTCTCCCGCTGCTCGGCGGCGCTGCCCGCCCCGTTGATGTGCAGGCTCTTCTTGTACATGGCCATGCGCGTCTTGCCCTCGCTCCTCTGGATCTTGGGCAGCCGCGCCTTCTCCTGCTGCTGCCGCGCCTTCAGCTGCTCCACCATGCGCTGGTTGTACCGCTGCATCTGCTCCCGCTCCTGGGGGATGCACAGTCGGGGCTGCGGTCAGCTGCGCTCCGGGCGCAGGGGTGTCCTCACAGCCACACGCGGTCAGGGGCCCAGGATGCTCGGCAGAGCCAGGCTCTGCCATTTTATCTACTGTCATGTTACAGTTTCTGTTCTCACTTTGGAAACTGGCGTTAGCATCTTGGATTCTTCTAAATGCCGTCTCATCCGATCTGTGGTGGCGCTGCCATCACAGCTAGCGTCTCAAAGCAAAACGCACACTAAAACGGAGGGTTCCTTTGGATGGCAGATATCAATTCACATTTTTAAACATCTTAATTTGAATTTTTCCTTTACGTAACACTTATTCGTATTTCAAAACTCTGCACAGGAGTCACCTCCCTGCCTTCCTGGCCGGGTACCCTCCTCGGAGCTGCCACAACTGTGCGCTGACACCCACCACTGCACTTAGTAGGCGTTATTGCCCACTCCCGCTGTGCAGCCAGACCTCAAGTTATCTGTCTGTGTCCCCAGTAAGGAAACTGAACCAAGACAGACAAGTACACAGAAGTAGAGGGCGCTCCGGCCATACAGCCGGGCCCTCACCTGGTCTGGGAGGTCAGGGAAGGCTTCCCGGCAGAGGTGGCATTGAAGTTGCTACCTAAAGGTATTCTAAAGGAATGCACGGGAAAAGGGAAATGGAAAGAAAGGACAAAAAGGACAGGGAAAGCGTGAACGAGACACATACGGGTGTCAGTTGGTAAGGGGGCTGCTCGGGCCCTCAGCTTCCCTGCATGGTTTCCCCCATTCCTGGCCTCACCGTGGCCCGCCTGACTCCTCTGGGGAGCACAGACGGTACCCAGGGGGTGCCCCATCACGTGGCAGTGCCCGCGCCCCGCCCGCGCCTCACCTTCTCGTGCTTGCGCACCAGCTCGTGCCGCTGGAGGAAGTACTGGTCTTTGAGCTGCTGCTTCACCAGCTGATGCCTCTCCTGAAGGTGATGCTCCTCTATCTCCCACAGGGCCGCCTCCCGGTCTGTGGAAGACCCAGCGCCCGTTGAGGTGCCGACGGCCAGCGCCCACCCGGCCGCCTCACGGTGTAGCTGATGACCGTGCCACCTCAGTGGACTACCCTGGACGAGCTGACTGAGCCAGCTCCTAGACACTTCGTTGATAGCTGCAGGCTGAGCACGCTGCAGCAGGATGGGTTCGGAGTCAGGAGCCAGAGAAACGGAGCCCTTTGCCAGGATTTAGCACAGGTAAAAAACCCCCTCCAGCCTCAGCTTCCACCTCTGCCCAGGGGGTACAACCATGAGGAGAAACGTCCTTGGGAGACATTTAGGTTCGGTCTACACGGCAGCTCTGCTTTCCCAGCAGACAAACAGGAAGTGCTCTGTGGAAACCCCGTGACGTTGACAGGATGGCCTCGTCACTTCCTCCGTTTAGAGCCCGCTTGCTTCGTGCGCCCCGCAAACCTACACCCAACATCTGCTAGCCAAAGGAACGATAAACTCGGGGGCCATGAAAGACCCCAAGCCCCGTGACCTTTCAGAGCTCTCTAGACCAGAGAGGCCCCGAGTGATGGACACATACGCCCCCTTTCTGATCCTCCTCTTCCCCAGGAGGCCCCTGCTCTCCCCGCTCTGGGTGGTGGTCCACACCGCTGTCTAAGCCTCACACTGTGAGGGACCGGCCGGCATGCACAGCTGTCAGACGCCACTGCGCCAGGGTAGAGAGTTGGCTGCAGGGTGAGATCTGTATCCCAGGCCCATTCTACCCTCATTGACTGTGCGACTCAGCCACAGAATAGTCACTGAGCCTCGGTTTCCTCATCTGTCAAACCGGGAACAGTGGGACCTGCCTCGTAGGGGAAGGTGAGGATTCAGGTATGAGAACTGACTGGCACAGCCTGGCAGAGCAGTTGCTCAGTATGTGATGGCTGTTATAAAAGGCTCAGTACTGTCCCCACGCCTGCCGCCCGTTAACCCAGCTCGCTCACTTAGTTTCCACCCTCTCTACGTCACTGTTTTTTCCCCTCGACATCTGGAATGATGTCAAATAATGCTGGTGATGATGGGTATCTCTGTCTCAGCCCTGACCAGCAGGGGTTTTCCTCCTGTTCCACCGTGAAGGATGATGTTTAGTTTTGGGATGGAGAAGACCTGGCAGTTCTTTCTTGCCCGGGGCGCCCCCTGCTCTCACACACCCACCTCGGAGGAGCTCCTGTTTCTTCGTGAGGCACTCGCGCTCCCTGTCACAGATCTCCCGCCTGTTGTCAGCGGTGATCCTCTTCATCGCCAGCTCCAGGTCCTCCTTCTGCTTGGCTAGGAAGTCCCGGTCCTGGGGCGGGAGGGAGGAGGACAGACCTTCACTCACTGCTGGCCATGATGTCTCAATGGTTATTTTTATTCCAGAAACATCGTGATCATAAAGAAAACTTAGAAAATATACAGAGAAAAAACGGAAGAGCCTCAGGACAGTTCGACCAACTGTGACAGGTGGGCCTTAACGGGCCCCTGATTCCAACGGCAAACTACAAAGCTGGAGACGTGAGTCCTGACTCGACTGCAAACATGTTACAAAACAACTACTGTTGAGTAACTGATGTCTCAGGCGCGCTGAGGGCGCTGTGCTCGTTTCTCTGAGATACTTGAGGATCTGCGCCCGCGTGTCCTTAGCATTATTCACAATAGCCAAGGAGTGGAAACAGCTCACGCGTCCATAGATGGACGGACAGAATGTGTCTTACCCCACGAAGGAACAGTATTCAGCCCTAAAAAGAAAGGAAATTCTTCTACATGCTACCACATAAATGAATCTTGAGGACATTACATTAAATGAAATAAGCCAGTCGCAAAAGGAAAATTATGAGTCCACTTATGAGAGCAGGAAGTGGGGGCCAGGAGCTGGGGGAGGGGGCGGGTTGTTTCATGAGCACAGAGGTCACGAGACGCCATGGTGGGAAGATGAGCGCATAGCCACGGGATGAAGGGGGCGGAGGGGCTGGCAGGGCCTTGTCTGCCCGCGGGGGGTTCTCAAAGCTCAGGGCTGTGGGAGGAGGGAGACCCCATCAGATGGGGATTTTGTGTTGATCACACTCGCTGCTGTAAGGGAGGACGGGGGACCAGCTGGGGGCTACTGTAGCGGT